TACTAGGTCCCTTCCGACCCTTAATCTATGAATCTATGGATGCATAAATAAGGGAATACTGAGCAGGAACATTACTGTAGTTACTCACATACCATAGTCACCACTTACTTCTTGGATAAAACAAGCATCCTGTTTTCAGAAGGCAGAGTGAAGGGAAAAAAATTCTTGCCAGTAGCCTAAACATGGACAGCTGCAGTAGGGAGCAGCAACACTGTGGTTACTTCATTAACCCTGTAGCTGCTGGCTGGCTGCAGACAAGTCTTCCCTCAGTACCAGCATCTGCAGAAGAGGCCTGTCCCAGCAGTAGCTTAAAGGTGTCCCTTCAATATGTGAAGAGGTACTCTCCCTTTCTTCCCCCTCCCCATTTTACTTTATTGAAGGAAAGCCAGGAGCACGGGGGTTAACTGAACAGCCACAGTTGTTGCTCCCTTCTATTCTGGCTGCTTGTGTTTATGCTGCTGGCAAGCAAGGAAATAGGTTGGAGCCATGCATGGCAACAGCTGAGCTGAGTCACTAGCAGCTTGTGCAGCAAGATGCTTTGCTGGCGAAAAGAAAAAGTAATGCTGCACATGCTGCATAGGGGCAGTGCAGTGAACATGTGGGCTCCTATTGTCCACAGCTGGCAGCGTGGGAGTCCAGCAGTAGTTTTATTGGGAGTGGTGGGGTGAGGGGCAAGAGGGGAACCAGGCCCAGATGCTGATTTAGGAGTGCCAGAATGGCAGCCTCTTGAGAGCCAATACCCCAGCAGCTGCAGCTAGGCTGGAAACACAGATCCAGCTCTAGCCCCAGCCCAGAAGCATGCACAGTCCCCAGCTCCAGCTGTGGTAGCATGCACAGTCCTTAGCTCTATCCATAGCCTGGGAGCAAGCACAGCCCGTGGCTCCATCTGAAAAATCAGAAGCATGCACAGCTTCCAGCCTCTATCTTCAGCCCCAGCATGAGAGTGTGCACAGCCCCTGGCACAAGTGGCAGTTGAGCAGCATGCACAATGCTGGCTACTAATACCATTTCCTTGCTTAATATATATGCCCTAAATTACAGGAGCTAATTTCTGGGAAAATGGGGCATGTGATACGGGAGAAAATACATTTGGCACTGGTGTGATTAGCACTGAAATACTGTGTCCAGTACTGGGGCCTACAATACTATAAATACCTAGATGAATTGTGGAGTTTTGAAAAGAATCACAAGAATAAACTAAAGGATTCTCCTTGGCTTAGAAACTGAAGAACCTCAGCCTATTCTGTTTAACAATGCAAGATTAAGTGGTGGTGAAAGGTGTAAAAGGCCAGTTCTGTGCCTTGGGTGGTGGCAGTACACAGGGCAGTGGCTGCTGCTATTTTTGTGCCCCCCCCAATCATGCAAATATCTGCTTAGCAACATAAATGTGATAAAAGAAGGCTCTTCAGCTTAACAGACAAAGGTCTAACTAACACTTCCAGCATAATCAATGGAAATTGAAGCTAGGCACATTTAGATCACAAATAAGCCACACAATTTTCAGCAGTGAGGGTATTAACCACTGGAGCTACTTAATAAGGACTGTGGTGGATTCTCCACTGCTGGAGGTGATTAAATCAAGAGTGGAAGTTTTTCAACAGATGTATGCTCCAGGTCAAATGGGAATTGATTCAGTAAAGCACTATGGCTTTTGTTACAAAATAGGTAACACTAGACAATCACAGTTTTCCCCTTCTAGCTTCATACTCAATGAATTGGAAAACTACCAGAGATTAAATAGAGATTATTTTGTTTCAGCAGCCAAGTCTACAGAATCAGAGGTCACCCAATTTTGTTCAAACAGTATGTCACAAACCATTTTTAAACATCTCTGCCTACTATATTAATTAAATCCCCCTCCCTCCCCAACAAATTTAGAAGCAGAAACATATTTCCCAACCAATATGTGCTGTCTTAATTACAAACTACCATTTTTTGCACCATGTATGAGCTGGCCCTTTATTCACGGTTTTGTACGTCTCCATACCTTGAATGTAGGTAGGCGGATTGTTTTCAACATGTAAAGACAGAAGGCAATTCCTAGAGCATCTTGCAGGACCCAGGCCCACCTATAGAAACAAAAGTGTTACTTTCCTGAAGCAGGCAGTAAGAAATCCAGCCCAGTCACTAACAGTTAGGATAAGAATAATCACTAGGCATCAGTTTAGGACAGACTCAGGCATGACATTTTGCAAATTCACTGTTTTCTTTTTTCTCATTGAAATTAACCTACATAAATAAGCTAAAAATGGGTAAAGATGTAGTATGTACAGCTCATCTCTTATCTGATAAAAATAAGTATTATTTTAGTAAATAAGCTGAATGTTGTTCATGCCAATTATGCTTATAAAAAGAAACTGGCTTTAGCACTTCTCCCTTCATATTCTAACAATACCCTAAAAAGCTGAACATTAAAAAAAAGCTGAACATTAAAGTTGTCTCAAAAAAGATAATTACTATTAAACATTCTAACAGTAGTTTTGTTTTTCTTCACGGTTATTTTCTTTTTTTTCCCCTTGCTGTAACTTTCTCAGAAACAGAAGTTGGTACATTTGTAAGTTAGAATTGCATGCATTATTAACTAAGGGCGTGAACACCAACTCTGAGAAGTCGGTCTTCACTGCAATAGGACTGTGGTGAAGGCCCTTTTTGAGTGAGTCATTGGTGACCTGCATACAAAATGTCAATGCCACACTCTTCTGTTACATCTGTAAAGCAACCTATCCAGCTGCAATAAGAGAGAGGTAATGGACCTCCTTGCCATCTGGTACAACAAATACACCCAGTGCACCTTCCAAAGGAGCTACAACAACCAAGCCATATATAAGTGTTTCACTTTTGAAACAGCTGTTTGGGGTACAAACATGATTGGCATCAGTCCTGTACAAAGTCCGAAATGCTGAATTATAGGCTCATAGACAAGCAGAACTGGAAGGGACATCTGGAGGTCATCTAGTCCAACTCAGGTGTAGGCTTCATTCCCTCCCAGGGCATAAAGCATGTGGAAGTTCTGGCCCCTTTCCAGCCACAGCAGCATTGTGGGGCTGGACCTGCTGCTGCTGCATGGCTGGGCAGGGGCTTGAACTTCCACGTGTTCTGTGGCCTGGGATGGAATGGAGCTGGAGCTGGCCTGACAGTAAGCAGAGGGAGAGAGGTGGGAGGGGGCAGAAGCCACAGGGGGCAAAAATTGTTGGGGGCAGGCTGTTGCTGCAGCTCCGACTCTGGCTCCAACCCAAGGTTTAGGCTAGAGTCAAAGCCACAGCAGCCATCTGCCTCACCCCACTTTACACCCCACCTTGTACTCAAATCTAAGATGAGGGGCTCCCACCATGTTGAATGAGAAAGAAAAACTCATCTTGGATTCAAGTAAATACAGTAGTCTATAACAAGACAATTTATAACCACCCTTCAGGGATTTGAAGGCTTATTAAATCCTGCTTCACTTCTTTTTTATGGACTAAATAATCTAGCTCTTTCAGCTTTTCCTTGTAAATCTTATTTCCCAGACCTCTAATTATGTTTGCTGCTCTCTGCTGGACTTTCTAATTCATCCACTCGTTCCTCAAGTGTAGTGCTCAAAACTGGACATACCAGGTTCACTATTCCAGGTACTACACCTCACTAGTGCTGAACAGTGTGGAAGAATCACTTCTCTTGAATTCTCCTGAATGTAATGGGAATGTTTCTGTAACAAAAGCACGCTGTTGGCTCATTCAGTTTATGGGTCATAGTAATTCACAGGTCCTTTTCTGCCTTACTGTAGCCTAACCAAACTACCACATGCAACAAACTAATCCTCTTCCTTACACAATGCCCAGGATCAAATTAACTCAGGGGTGGGCAAACTATGGCCCATGGGCTGGATCCGGCCCATGAGGCCATTCTGTCTGGCCCATGAGGCCCCTAAAAAAATCAGTAAATTTCACTCTCTTCCTGCCCCCATTGCTCTGGCACCAGGTGGCTCCTGGCTGCATTGCTGGACTGGGGAGCATGGGGCCACGCAGGTACGTATGTGTGTGAGCGCAGGGGCAGAGGGAGGGAGAGAGAGAGAGAGTGAGAGTGAGAGAGTGTGTGTCCGACCGTCCGTCCGTCCATAAGGTGAGTCCCACATGCACCCACACCCCCCTTGCTCTGCCATACACACAGACCCCCACACCTCCTCACATGCCCCAGCCACCCTCCCCCACACATAGCCCCCACAAACCCC